GGGGGCGGGGGGGTTAGATGCTGGGGTTTTGNCCGGGGGGGGAAAAGGGAGTATGAGTAACGAATGTGTTTTCGGGGCGTGGTCGACAGAGAGGTTTTATGTTCCTCTTGACTGTTCTCCTCCTCCTCCTGAAGTTTTTGCCCCACTTCCTATGTACCACACCCCCCACACACACACACACACACAACACACACGCAAGCCATCCTTCCCCCCTTTTTTTCCCCTTTCTTACAAACCCCCCCACACCCTCCTTTCACTTAAAGTTTTCAAACGCGCTCTTTTTTAACGCTTTTTCAAACTGTTGTTTTTTTTCCTTTCCCTGCTTCCCCCCCTTGGGTTGATCCTGTTCGTCTCCCACTCCCGCCACCCGCTCCCCCCCTGTGTAGCGCATCATCGAGCGGACCCTGACCGACGAGGAGATCGACAACCTGGCATTGGTGGCGGTAGCAGGCATTGCGGCGGAGGGCCGGGAGTACGACGAGGTAGATGTGTGCGAGTTCGTGTGGATTCCCCTTTAGGGGAAGACAACCCTTCGGTTGTTTCGTTTGGGAAACCCTTATAAAGCAACGGCTTTTCACAACGAAAACACAAGTCTTCTAGAATAATCAGACCCAAATAGCCGAATTGGTGTTCGTGTGTGTATGTGTGTGTATATTGATGTGAAAGGTTGGGGAGAAGCGTAGGGAAGATGGCGCCCTCAGCATCGCCTGTGCAGTACGAAACCCGCCCCCCCCCCGCTTTCCATTCCCCCGTCCCTTTCCATCACAATTTCCTCTCCCTTCCTCTACCGTACAACTGCCGTACCCCCACAGAATTTTCCACTCTCCCGAACACATCGATGCGCACCACAGTCGAGGTGCTCCCCATCCCATCACACACGTTTAAAATCCCTAACCGCCAAGTACCACTCAGCTGCCTCAATTTTGCAGTGCTGATTTTTGCCTTCGCAATTATTTGCTGTTTATATTCCTCAAAAAGCTGATTATGTTTTCTTTTATCCGTAACACCCTCACCTTTTACCCTACAACCAACACCACCGCCACACCGTTGTATTTTTTCAGGTGATGGGACAAACCGCCGACCTAACCGACTTGCAACGGCTTTTGCTGCGGTCCCGTACTCGCCTCAGCGACTCGCAGCAACAGAACGTCACTCGTTGGGCCGTGTGGGCGGCTGCGGGGTTGCTCCGGACCAATGCCGCCGAGCATAAGGCCCTGGTGGAGGCCATGAGAAGAGGGGCAAGTGTAGCGGGTTGCGTGCAGGCGATTGAGGCGGCCTCTGCTGCTGCTGCTGCTGCTGCCACTGCCGGCAAGGGCAACAATTAACAAATAATGTAACATTTCTAGTAATCTAGTAAGATTATTAGAACTATCACATTAATGGTATCATCTATGGAAGGATAAGGCTGGTTAAAATTACGGAAAGAAAGGGGAAAGCACATTGGAAATTGTTGTTGGTGTTGATGGGGTGATGTGAGGTATGGCAGTGTTGCCTGCTAGGTGCTGGCGAAAAGAGAGTGAGTGCAGTGTTGGGAGCGGCAGGTGGGCTAGTCGTGGCGTGGCGCGGTGGTTTGCGTATGTGAGCAAACAGGGGGGAAAATGCCATCAAAATGACATCAAATCCTTCCTCAAAAAAGAAGAGGGGCGTGAGAGGTGCAGACAAGCCGACATGACTTTTGTGTGCAGTGGTGTTGCGGAGAGACAGAGAACCCGAAACAGTTCCTGTGTCCAGTAACAGGTCCAGGTGGTGAGTGTGTGTGGTGGGTTGGCACATTGTGGGGTGCGGTGAGCATGGTAACCAAAAGAAAGTGTGTCTCTCTGCAGAAGAGGCAGGGAAGAGGCAGGGTGAGAGGGAGACGGACCCTGTTCTCAATCTCCATCTCCCCCCCCCAAACTCAAAAAACCGCTTCAAACGGCTTCCCGGAAGACGTGAGGCAGATGTGTGCAGAGAGTGAGTGAGAGGCTGATGAGGCGAGTACGGCACTGCTACATGTCGTGGCGGAGTGGCACAGTCGTGGCACAATCGTAATATGTTTGTGTGGGGTGGGGTGTGGAAGTGGGTGTGGAAGTGGGGTGGGGTGGGGTGTGGAAGTGGGGGTGGAAGTGGGAGCGGAGGGCAGCAGAGTGGAGCGGAGGGAAGTGAAGCACAGCGGGAGGGAAGAAGGAAGAAGAGGGAGCGGAGAGGGGGAGGGGTGACTGGGGCGACTCCTGCGGAATGCGGTGGCAGGATGGGAGCATGCGCGAGTAAGCGAGTGACATGCTGTATGTATGTATGTATGTATGTTGTTACAGGTGGTCCACACGTTGGGCAATCTGCTCACCAACATGTCGCTTGGGGCAGTGGCCGTGTCGTTCACGCACACCATTAAGGTATGCAGGTGTATATGTATGTATGTATGTATGTTTGTTGTTACAGGGTGGTTAACTTCGCCAGCGGCCCCTTTCCCGGGCAGTCCCTGCTCTCCCCTGCTAGAGGGGCACCCTAATCCGTCACCCCATCCGACTTCAGAATGTATTCGTTGGGTTCGGCAAGTCACCACCAGCATTCAACCAAATCTAGCGGATCAACGGCGCATTAATTTAGTTCCTGGTCAGCTCGCAAGATGATTTTATCACGTCCTACATCGTCCATATGATGGGGGGCCACCTCCCATTTTAACACTCCTCCAACACCCGAGGAGCCGGCAGGCGGATTTGAACCCGGGTCGGCCGGGAGCAGAATCCAGGCCTTAACCTCTGCCAGCCGCCTGCATTGTATGTACATATGTATGTATGTATGTAATACATTGATACGGGCGTGACGCTGGCCAGGGGCACCATGTATGTATGTACATATGTATGTGTGAGCAAAGCGAGATCTTTGCCGCGCTTTGAATGGAAAGTGTAAACTCAGAAAACAATTCGTGCGACTGCCCGGGAACATGGCAGGTAAGGACTTGTGTGCAGCAACCCGCCGCCTAATTCCCTCAATCCGGTGCGGTTTTGGCCCCTCCCTCCCCCCCCCGTCGGTGTTTCGACCTCCTGCTGCTGTACAAACACTTGTGCAGAACTGCATCGCACTGATCTGCTATCCTCTGTATCCAATGCACTTCCTCCGTGTTTTGAGTAATGCATGAGCTTCATTCCTTCTGTCAAGGGATATCAGATAAAGCCATGGACCCTGTTGCTAGCACGTAGACGGCTAGACGTGCATAAAAAGCAAAGAGCTGAGCACAGCCTGCAAGGACAGCCAAGTATGTTTAGCTACGGTGCATATATTATAGCCCGTGCTTCCCCAGCCCTTTGCTGTCCCGTTATCCACACTTATACTTCAAAAAAAAATGCTACAGCGCCCTGTGCAAAAGGCTGCGACAGCTGTACTACAGGCCTTGTGACTACGGTATTTGTTTCCAGAAAGTTAAAAACTAAATCTATTTCAATGGAGAAATGATTCTTTTGCACAATTGCTCCGAAGGCCGTACGGGACTATGTTATCTGTAGAGGCTATTTCGACAAGCACTGTTAATAATACGGCAGGCCTCTTCATTCTGGCTAGGAGAATCTTAACAGTGGCGATTATTGGCAGCGCCTCGCAAGTCCTCTGTGGTGTGGGAAGGGGCCATGGGGGATGTTTTTCAAGGCAACGAAAGATGGGAAGGGGGGAATGACGGGGGGATGTGTAGGACGAGCAGAAGTGCGAGAAGGCGAGGCCCACAGGCCCGCCCTTGGAGCAGTTCAGATATCCTGACGTGCGTATGAGCAAAAGGGCGTCGAATGGGGGATTACAAATCTCCTGCATGTTGCAATCGGACATGTTTCTTAGCAACGTCACGATTTCCCCCTCTACGACTTCCCTGAATTTTTTGCCTTGGGCAATGGAGTTGAGGCTGCTGCTATGGGGGGTTCAGCTAGGGCCTTCTAGACGTTTCCGGACGACTTGCATGCAGGGTTGCGACTGGGACGCTTGGTACATGGACTGCTGGAGTTACAGCCACAGCTCCTATTCATGTATTATATGCGCTTCTTCAGGCCTTTGTCAATGTGGCCCCGGCCATGTGTCGGAGGGTTGAGCGATGTGGAGTTGGAACTCAAAGACTGGAGTAGGAACAATCCTCAACAAGGCGTCAATACGCCAAGAAAGTGTTCGCGGGCATTGTTTTGTTGCATAACAACAGGTTCCGTATTATGAACCAGTTATGGTTCGCGCCGTTGCGAGTGGAAGTCATTTCAAGCGAATGGTCGCGATTCTGCATTTTTGCGCATTGCTTGATTTGGTCATTTCCCGCGGCATTCGAAACCTCATACGCAAACTGGCGGGTCGGCACGTGAAATATTGCGTTCCTTGCGTAACCTTGTGCCATGGCACCGAAAATGTAATAAAGTTTTATTTGTATAAGTCCTCTGAATGGCTCTGCATGTCGTACTGGGCTTCGCAGGAGGACTGCCAGGGATAGGAACGCGCCGAAGCCATTGCCTGATAAGAGCAGCACAAGGCATTCGTGTTCTGCTATCACAGTGGAGTGGTGAAAAGGCAAAATATTCAGCCTTTAATTTCAGCCACCGATTGGGACGGTATATTAATGTGGCGGTCGCGGTGCACGGGCAAGTGGATGACTACCCGACTTTGGAATCAACTTATCACAAAATAAATATGAGATGAAAAAATAAATAATTTTTGCATTGTGGTCAAGTGTTTGGAGTTATGAAACATGCAAAAAAGAAACTGACATGGTTTCCAAGCCTCGGGTCTCGTAGGACAATCAACGGTAAAGATAAACTTATACAATGCATATAGCGAATCGTCCCTGGTTCATTCTCAGTCCAGTATTTCATGATGATAGAATATAAAGTCCTGTAGTTCTGCGAACATCCCATAGGACATCCCACTTCTTCGCACAACCACTATATCAAAATGGATATGCTTCTGACATTAAATTTAGGGTAAAATAGACTCAGGATTCAGGAAAATCCCGCGACCCGTGCGGGAGTTCGCATACGACAAAGGAGGGCCTTTCAGTTACCCGAGGAGTTACAAATTGAAGACGCAGGAGGATAGGTGAGTTAGGTCTGTGATCCGCACTCTGGAGAGAGAGTTCGCCTCGAAAGCGGTACATAAGGCTCTTGTCACTTGACCGTCTCCGAGCGGGATCAACTTGACCAGTCCAGCTATGGTAGTAATTTGTGCATAAGCGTCTTTCATTATTAATAGGGCCAAAAGGTGGGGGTGATTTCTGGGTCGTAATTTGACTTGCGCTTGCCAAGGGGCTACGCCGCGGCGCCGGATGCGCGGCTGAGGCAGAAAGAAGCGCCTCAGCCCGCACAAAGGTATGCTGACGTTGTGATTCACTATCAGGCAGCAGCCTGCTTGCTGAACGCCGCCATCGACCTCTCAGGTTGAACGAGGGGCTCAACTTAGCGGAGCACACAACCTTTGCAGCCCATACAGCCTGCCAGACAGGGCGCGCATGAGCTGGAGGGCGTCAAGCTCGGGCGGGGGGCCAGGCTAGTAGCCGATGTTGGGGCCTTGGGCTTTTGAGGCTCAAGCCGTGGTGACCGAGCACGTGCTGACAGGACCACTAGCTCGCTATCGCCATGGCTCCTTGGATGAGCTTGGCGGCCAGGTGGTGCTAATGAAGCTCTGTGTCTCAAACGCTTTGGCGGGCAGCATAATTGGGCGAGGCGGACACAACCGCGACCAGCTTCAGCTCATTTCTGGTGGCGCTCGCATCCAGTTATCAAGGCCAAATGAGCTATACTCTGGCACGTCGGATAGGGTGTTAGTCCTGACAGGGACCCTGGGTTCCTGCATAACGGCCCTGTTTGCGATTTCTGGCTGCCTTGGAATGCCGGGACCGCTACCGTTGGAGGCCGTTTTTATGGGTGTCAGCACCCAATGGAAACTCATCCTGCCGTCTAGCGTTTGCGGATATATTCTCGGCGCTGGAGGTCGAACCGTGCGGGCCATCACGGCGCAAGCCGATGCGAACATTAGCATTTCCGCAGAACCTGATAGGGACGCGGAACTGCCAAGAGAGCGGATCGCAACGATTTCAGGCGGCTGCTTGCAAACTCTTCGCGCAATGGGCATAATTGTTGACAAGGTCAGGCTCGCAACTTTGTTGCTCTTGCTTGAGAATCCATACTTATAAAGTAGCGTCAGTGCCTCATGTTTTTTTCCATTCGGACTCGGTCAAACTTCTACTGTACCAAGTCCGTGCCCGTGCAGCTCGCGATCTCCTTCCTTCCCTTTCCGCTTTTCGTTTCCCGCCCCTTTGCAGCTGCTTACCAGGCCATTTTTAGAGCCGGGTGAGCCTTCGTTCGAGGGGCAGTTTCCAAGCAGTCGTATGGCCCTCCTGGCGCGGACCGGGCACCTCAGGAATCCGCCAGGCCTGCTGCAACGACACATGCCGCCGCATTTGCTGCAGCAACAACAACATCAGCAGCAACCGCAACCCCAGCAGCAGCAACACCAGCAGCCACCTACGCTCACGACAGCGCAGGGGCCGCCCCTCTACGCCCAGCCTCCAGCCCCCGGGACGTCTGCTTTTGTCTATTTTCCTTTGCAGCAGCTGCAGCCCGCCCCAGCGCCGGTGCTGCCCCTGACGGCTGCGCCTGTCGGCATGGCGCACGCGCCTTTGGCTGTCCCGGTCGCAGCGGCTCCTCCTGGCCCCAGCGCTATGCGCGCCCTGCCGAGGATGCCCAGCTTGCCCATTGCGACCGCTGTGGCATCTGCGGCCATGGCGCCGCCTCCGTTGCCCGCCCCCGCGCCCCTGCCCCCCCATGCTGGCGGTCCGCTCCCGCCGCCTCCTGCACCGCCGGGGGTTCAGCCGGGCCAGCCGGATGTCTTGGGCCCGCGGCTGGAGGTCAGCATCGAGGTGCCCGAGAACCGCGTCGGCTTGCTGATAGGTGCGTGTGTGAGTTGCGCGAGGCGCGTCATTGCGCTTTATTATGTTACCGGCCTCGTCCACCTTTCTGTTTGTCTGGGGACCTGCATGCGTTGGAAATGATGTGCTTTGTTTGCTTGGTAAAGTTTGCTGGTCCCCCACGTCCGTGGTCATCTGTTGGCGATCTGGGTCAATCTCGATCTCTGTTGGGTCGATTTCGATCTGGGTTTCGCCTGGTCTGGCCACATTCAACACGGGCCTTATCAATCTGAGTCGCCAGGTCTGATCCAACGGCATCTGGTGGAAAGAACACATGCTTCAAGGCATCCGCGATCAATCCGCGAGGAATGCTCTGCCTATTATCGTGGAAGGCCTGAATAGCTGGCTGTCGTTGCAGTATAGGCTTTGTTTGTTGTTTTCGTGAACGCTTGTGACGGTATGCCTTCCTTTCGCAGCAAGCGCCTTTCCGGGTCCATCCGCGTCCCACGCCCCGACTAGACTTCAATCAGCTTGTTTGACCTCATGGAATTGATTTGCTTAATCATGGAGCGTCTTGATGTCCGGACCATCACGACGACATGTGCAGTCAATGTTCACACGTCCGGCGGTGAATATAAGCCGACCTGACCCAAATCGACCTCGGATCTGACCCAAATTGACCTCTGGCCCGATACGCAGGCCGGGGAGGTGAGACTCTCCATTGGATGCAGCGCCTGTTGAACGTCAGCATCAACATTGCTCGCCGGCCGCCGCCACCTGCTGGCGAGGGTCCGCTGCCCGACGCCCTGCGGCGTGTTACGATTTCTGGGGCTCGGAACGCGGTCAACATCGCGCACGCGTTTATCCTGCAACGTCTGACGGGCTCTCGAGGGGCCGGTGGTGGTGGTGGCGGTGGTGGCGGCGGCGAAGGCCTGGCGCGGCATTAGTCTGTGGCCTCGTCGTCCCCGGCGCACTACATCGTGGTCATGGTCCTGGCGCTGGCCTTGGCGGCGGGTCTTCTTTCCTTGTCGGCAGCTGCCGCCTGACGGCCTTTTTCCTTAAGCGTGTGCCCCCGCTCCCTTTACAACGCGCGCGCGTGCAACCGAGGCTGCGAGACTGGTGATGGTGCCCATATCCTGGTGGGGCCCTCGGAGCTGCTGCTATCATTTGCAGCAGCAGCGAGGAGACCCACAGGAGCAGCGGAAACGTCAACACCAACGACAAGAAATTCCGCAGCCCTCGTCGTCACGCGCGCAGTTGTGGCCGCGATGAAGAGAAGAGGAGGTGAGGACCGCAGGCGGCCTGCCTGCCTGCCTGCCAGGCAGGTAGTTAGAAGCGAAATGGCCCTCTGCCCACTTCGCGCCGCTGTTGGTACGCCCTCTTGTGCTCGCACCCCACATAATCATCTTTTTGTCTTGCTCCGGCTGCGGCGAGGAGTGGGTTGGTGGGTTAGGCGGCCTTGGTGGTGCGTTGCGAAGCTCTGCGACCCGAAACCCGTCACTAGCTCGAGGGGAGGATATGTGGCTCCCACCGGGCGCGGTCCCCCCGTTGAGAGTTGTTGTGAGAGAGCCTGTCGTTTGGACGGCGATGGTGCTTTTGAGTTCCTTGAACCACTCTCCTTTGCTACGTTTTCACAGCCTCGATCGTTCACTCACTCTTTACCGTTGTACGGGTCGCTCGTGCGGTGGGGTGTTGACGGGGGGAAGGGGAGGGGAGAGGGCGCTTGTTCTCACGCAATCGTAGGCAAGTTACATGTCGGTAAAATCAAATCAACAGGTGATGGTGGTGGTGACCACAGCCCCATCCAATAACTGACAAGCTGAGAGACTAAGTAGAAAGCAACACGCTTGTGTCACAGCGCGAGGAAGTTGCTCGAGCAGGTATGTCAAACGTCTTGTAAGTGGTGTACGCTATGGTAGCTTACTTGTTGTTCTGTCACCCCGTATGTGTGTATGTGTCTCTGTGACACCCCCTGCCGCATGCTGTATCTCAGTTTTTTGGTGTGCTTGTGTGGATGTGCTTGGCGCAGTGCGGCACGCCGGCCGTGGATGCCACTGTCCCTTATACACTGCGTGCACGACACCTTTTTAGTATAGCAGTCTGCTGCTTGTTCGCATGAATTGAAGATGAAGAGATGTTTTTTTGTAGCAGCTGCGTATGTCGGTTGTGCTCAGGGTATACCGACATGTTCCGGTTGGTCACATGCCTTCTTTACGACCGTGCACAATCATATGGGGGAGGGCAGTCATTTCACTTGGTGCTTTAGCACAGATCAGCACGTTCACGATATAGTTGGGGATGGATCCAAAGTGTGGGATGGCGGTCGTTGTGGTTGTTTTGGCCATCGGTGTGCAGCCTGTCCATTACTACCATGCACAAAAGCCGCCTCCTCCCACCTTGGGTCTGAACCCCCAGACATTCGGGGCTTCTGGCACCGCTTGCATGAAGCGCTGGTTTGCCTGGGCGCATGCGTGCGCTGCGAGTCAGAACACATTCACGTTGAATCGCTTTGTGTGATGCCAGGTCTTGCTTCGATGTTGTTGGTCGTTGCGATGAGCAAAGAAATGCGAAGCCGGCTCGGCGACAGTTTGCAGTGAGAGTAGTGCGTGCATCCCCCGCCTCGGGATATACAGACACAGAGACGGTATAAAAACGCACACAGTCTCACATATAGGAAATATATCCTTGGCGCGGGGCGCTGCCGTACGGCAGCTGCAAAAGTCGAATGCTGTCGAAGTGGTCTGCGCGGCTTGGCGGCGGCGGGCGGCGGTGTCCACAGCTCGCTTTGAGAGAGGTGTTTGACGGAATGCACTCTTGTGTGGCCCTCCTGAGTATCTTGGAAGAGCTGATATACATTATGGAAAAACTGATCATTATATTCACATCATGATACTGTCGTGGGCCTCTAAATGCCCAGAATGCGTATATTCGACTCATTCCATTATTTTGTCTCGTGCTTCACATCTTTAATTGGAATAAAGGCGTCGCTGTTGCGGCTTGCAGCGGTTGCATGGTGATGGGCCTTCATTCCATGTCTGCGCGGGGTAAGTTTTTGTTGTGCTCCACATGCGTTGCGTTTAGTGTTTAGTGCGTCGTCATGCAGTGTGGTGCTTGGGCGCGCTCGTGTGTTTGGTGTTTTTTTGGTTGCCTCACGTAGCTCACTCTTTGAGTTGTATCATCTCATTTTCCGTGTTCGATGTACCTCGGTTGCTACATATAGGAAGGAAGGTCAATGTCACTTCATATCCGGGCTCCTAAACTGTGTTTGGTTGTGTTGCCACAGCTGTCCGTCACAAAATTTAATTTCTTCGCGGCATTGAACGCGCCCTCGTGCGTCTTCGTTGCCGTTGCTACTTGTTGGAAGGAACGGCGGTCCGCTATCTCCCACCCACCCACCGGGGCGGGCGGGCGAGCGGGCGAAGCTCTTCCGGAGTTTTGCGTTTATGTTATCTGGTGTTGAGCAGGTGATGGTTGGATTGTGCAGGCGGTTTTGCGCTTCACGGCAGCGCAAAAGGAATAGAAATGGGGGCTTAGGGGGATTCTGAGGAAGGGCGGGCGGGCGGGCGGCTTAGCTAGTTTTACCATGGAATTCACCTTTTGTCATACCATTTAAACAGTCTAGTCAGGCGTTAGCCTTTTCTATTGCTCAATCCTTCGGGGTTGGCGGCTTTTAGTAGCAGCGTGGCGGCGGCGGGAGGTGGATTAGCCCTGTGGCCCTTCCGTGTCCTCTCCTAGCTAACCCTCCTAGCCTAACCCTGAACCGGAGGAGCACCGTGCGGTGTTCGTTTGCGGGGTTTGCGATTTGCGTTCTCTGTCCTCCCCGCTTTTCTACAGTGTGGAGAGAGGAAGGAGGCGAGGGGGGACGATGGACGAGAGGGGCGTGTATAGCGCGCTCCTTTTAGGGGGAGGGGGAGAGGCTACCCGCCGTCAATACGCTAGGTTCTTCATGTTGTACTCCACGACATGTATGAGAAGACCACACATCGGAGGCGTTTGTGTCTCACATTCATTGTTCAGAAATCATGCTTTTGTAAGGATTCACCACTTTCATATTTTTTTGTTTGGACACGTATGCGTCGATCTGGGTCAACGGCAGCCATCTCGGTATTCAGATAAACACAGTAATACAAGTCGGACCAATAAGCAACTAAACGTTTGTGTTTCTGCAAGTTTCTGTTCATCTGAGTGAGGGGTTCAGAACGAACAGCACCGGCGGCAGGACAATGCTCTGGCCAGGCCATGCTCCCGCAACCGTAGCTTGGTCCTGTTTGTTCTATCGCGGTACGGTATGCCTGTGGCACCATCATGTAGCTAGGCGCGGCTGCTGGCAGATCGTCAACGGTACGCTCCGCTTTTTAGCGTGTAAAAGCAACTGAAAAGCTCTAGCTCTGAGTGCTGAAAAAGTCGGAATAGTTGAGCGTGGGAAAAGAGGTGCTGCACCATTTCTCGATTTGTGCCCATCCCATCAGCACTGGGCACATAAGCAACATTGGGCCAGATCAGTAGTACGGTGGGGGACCACGTGCGAACCCCTGGTGACGATGGTGCTGCACAAGTTGCTGTGCCGTAACGGGCAACAAGAAACGGCCATCGCCAGAGCGACTGGATGCGGTCTTAGAAAATGATGCGATGCAGAGCGCGGAAATGTAATGTAACCTTGTCTAGATAATGACAAGGTGCCTATCGCGCAAGGCACCTATTTCTTAATCTGTCGGCGTTTCCTGGTAACGCAACTTGCGGCACATTCGCAAACCCCTTCCCGGTTTCTTACACATTTTCAGGAATCAACAACTCTCGATTTTATGTTAAGCATCTAGCCTAGCTATCCCTTGTGCGCGCGGGCGGCGTCATCCTTCAATCGGAACGAGCCATGAGGACAGCCCGAGCTGGCGCCAGCGCGCCTGACTGGGAAAATCCAGCCGTTCTAGGTATAAACAAACGGGCAAGCCACGCTCCCCTGCGCTCTTTCCAAGATCTCGAGTCGGCTGTCGCCATCTTCCGTCCTCCGGTCATGAGCACCAACCCCACCTTGCTCCGCGTTACCGACGGCGTCGCGCGCCAGCGAGCAGCTGACGCTCAAGCCTTGGCAACACGTGGTGTGGCACCCTCACCTTCTAGCGGCTTGCGCAAGCTGTCGGGCTGCGACTGGGCATTCAAATTGTACCGCAACCCAGGGGAAGTGCCGCCCGAGTTTCCGGACCCCGCCTACCGTACAACCGACTGGACGCAGGTTCGTCATGATGCGCGCTATCCATGTGATCACCGCCCGCTTGTGATCACTGTCATGAACAACGAACCTCCCCCCGCCTGCCCTTCCGCTGCCATCCTTATTACTACCCCCACATGTTGCGAACAGATCGCGGTGCCCCTAAACTGGGAGTGTGCCGGCCACGGCATCCCAATTTACACGAATTTCGTGTACCCTATCCCGTTGGATCCCCCGTTCGTGCCTTTGGAGGACAACCCCACCGGGTGCTACAGGCACAACTTCGTGCTGGAGGAGAGAGACGTCGGACCTAGCGACAGGTAGGGGGCGATACGTGTGTGTATGTATGTATGTATGTATGTATGTATGTATGTATGTATGACGTTGATTACACTGTGGGCTGAAAAGCCGGGGGCCCAGGGCCGAAGCACAGCGCGGGGGGCGGGTGCATACGGCTGGTTAGTCTCATGCACTCCGCCCCCGGGTCAGGCCGCACGGGAAACGACGGCCGGCACGCAACAGCGCTTGTTTGGCGCTCCAACTAGACGGGATCTATGCCCGTTGGTCTCCTAACATAAACGAAGTCGCAACTGGGGGGCTCTTCCTGCCGACCGAACGAACCGAGCATCTCAGAGAGCTCGCTACCAGGACTTGGGCGACCGGGAGCCCGACGAGTCTTCCCGGGCTGGGGAGGTCACCAAGCTCAAAAATCCTCACGCAAAAAAGAGCGCAAAGAGCTCACACCACAAGACGCCAAACAGCCTCCTGAGACTACTACCCTCCTCCGCCTCTCCCTCCCTGGGCTAGTCCAGGGGAGATAGCCCCCGTCGAGGGGGTAACACCG